CCACCCTCTGTCCCAGGAATTCTTAGAAATCTGACAGAAGACTTTGGATTATTACAGAGTTGGAATGAGGTTTCTAGTTGACTTTATCTAGAATATACATATGCACACACATATGTCATTTTTACTTGACATGAGAAAAAATATATAAATTTATTTATGTGTAAATACATACATAATACTATATATCAATATTTTCTTCTGTCAAGTAAAAATAATTATATATGTATATATCGATTATAATTTTAATTTCTCATGTCAAGTAAAAGTGACGTACCTGGAAGAGGAAGCAGGTTATTTTTTATTCTGACATTTGTGGACTCTGTCCACCACAGCAGCACATCTGTTTTTGAAGTATTTCTATACACTCTTTATCTCAATGAGTCGTCCCTTATAATCTGATTTCTGTCTCCACCACTCCCATGGACTTGCTCTCACCAAGATCAGCAGTTCAAGATCAGCAGTTCAAGATCACCAGCTCAAGCTCCAGAACTCACAAGGCATTTTATGCTGTTTGACTGCTCCTTCCTTATTGCAACTCTCTGCTTTGCCACATGATTCTCCTCTGGTTTCTCTCTGGTCATACTCAGCCTCTGCTCTTCTCCACACTCTCCCTGAGAGACCTCATTCAAATACTCATCTTTAAAAGCCACTCATACCACATGACCCCCCAAATCCTTATTTCCAGCATAAATTCCACCCCCATCATTTTAGACCCATACATTCAAATTAACAGGCACCTCAGACACAATATATTTAAGACTAAACTCATCTTCTTTCCCCCAAATCTGCTCCTACTGTATTCCCTGTCCCATTTTGTGACACCACTATCCACACAAGTGATAGTGATACAACCAGTCAGGAATGTATCAACCTAGACTCCCTGCTTTTGTTGCCTCCTGCCCCCTACATCTCACCAGTAACTGAATTCTGGGGTATCTGCTTCCTTAGTCTCTGCTTTATCTGTTCCGCCCTCTTTACACCTACACGATGTCTACAGTTCAAGCCGGCATCACTTTGTCCTTAGATCAATCTCCTAACCGTTCTTACTGCCACTAGGCTGGGCCTCCCCGAGTCCATCTTTCTCTCCGTTACACATAGTTTTAAAACTCGTATAAACATCATGTTACTCCTCCTCTTGGGATCCTTTGACTTTCATAACAAAGCCCACATTCCTTAGCTTAACTGAATTGTTCAGGACAGGCTCTTGTGACTCTCAATCCTTCCCAGCCTTCTTATTCAGAGACAGAAAACCGCATGGACTTTTTGAAATGCATTTCAGCAACTCATGCCTCTGTGGTTCAGAGAGGCGTATAATTTGGCCGAGAGAAAGCTGGAAAACATGACAATTTGGATGAAACCTAATTTCCAGTTTTGGTGTACCATAATAATGCCTCACAACTCTTGTCTATCTGGGAGATGGTTTTTTAGCCACCAATCATTCAATCAATCATTTCTTCTAAGGGCTTTTTGAAAAAGCTGAAAATTAGAATAAGGGACGAATTGGAGCAAACTAAATATCCAACATTAGAGGACTAACCAAAATAGCCTAAATATCCAACAGTTATTGAAATTGTTTAAATAAAATATGGCAGGTTACATAATGGTATGTAAGTTATCTTCCCCTTTTTAGAAAAAAAGATAGTTACATGTGTGTTTAAACATGCAATAGGAAGGATCTAAAAGGATCTATATTGAAAGGTTATTAGCAGTTATTTTATCTGGGTCAGATTTTGGAAATTCTTTATGTTCTTTTTGTTATTTTTGATCTTTTCATTCTGATTTTTTTTAATGATTATATACTATCTTTGTAAAAAGAAAAGGCCACACAGAAACTATCAACAGTCCTATTCTTAATCACAAAAATTACCGATACTGAAGAAAAAAGACAAATATTAATTCTTTACCCAAATCCTTGTTTTTACAGAATTACATTAAAATCATAGAGATGATTCTTTACTATTTTCTATAATACTCAGTTTCCTCAAACTGAAATGTCCTTCCTCATTTTCTACCCAATCATTTCACTCTTTTTTTTCAGTCTGACATCTTCTCTATTCTTTAAAAGTCCAAATCAAGTGTCACCTGTCCTGAGAAGCTTTTCTTATTTGCTTTTGGTGAAGGGTCTACAATTGACTGTGGCTTACAAGTCAAATCCGTTCAACACCTATTTTTGAACAGCTTGCAGCTAAGAAGAGTTTTTAAATTTGCAAATGGTTGAAAAAAAATAAAAAAAATAAAATTAACAACACAGGACAAGTATATAAAATTAAAATGAATTAAAACAGATACGCTCATTCATTTATGTATTGTGTATAGCTGTTTTTGCCCTACAGTGGCACACAGACCACTTTCACTCACTTGTTTCAACTGTGTCAGGACAGGTATTAAATCAAGAACCTGCTGACACTGAGTTATTAAATACCTGTGGCAGCAGAGCTCTCAGAGTGAGCGAGACTTAGCATCCTGGCCCCATTTCAAATCAGGATGAGGTGTACTTTAAGAGATTAATGTGCAGATGTAAATCATAGCCTAAACACTTCATCTGGTCTTGGACAGCCTCTCTCTCGGTGAGCTGAAAGCTCTTTATAGAAGATGAACTAATTAGTTTTTATACTAGCTCTATGAGTTTGCAGGAGGGATGAACTAAGAATCCTTGTCCTGTGCTGCAGAGAGTCATAACACCCTGAATGTTTACAGGGCTGAAATAACATTCTAGAAATGTTTTCCTGAATGACCAATCTACCCACTTAGTATCTGATCATATCATAGTTGTCTCATTATGAGCTTGATTATATTTTGTCTTGTAGATTAAGTGTGAGGGGCCATATCTTTATTTACATTTTGTGTAGCACCTAGGACGTGCATGCTGCTCTTTTTTTCCCTGAGGCCCAAAAAAGTTCCATCAAGGCAGTCTTTTAAATGCAAAGGAAAGAATAGTTTGTCTCCTAATCACTCACTTCTGGTGAGAAGGCCTGGCCTGCGGGCCCTGGCAGCTCCCCTTTCCCTCCTCACTTGGGAAGGCTGCCACACACATTCTTTCTTGGGTATTTGTATGGTTTTATTGACGACCCAGTTTATGAGCAACCATTTGCTCCTCTGCCTCATTCCGATGGAGCTGGAAGCCGTTCCCATTTAGAAGAGGCTCATCCTTGTGTGCATGCAAGAATCAGGGGAAAGGGAGAGTGAAATAATTGGGTAGAAAACGAAGAAGGGCATTTAAGTGTTCTGTTCTAAATTCTCTCTCTCTCTCTCTCTCTCTCTCACACACACACACACACACACACACACACATACACACACCCTCTAAAAATCTACATTTTGGTTTTTATTCTTTGAACAACAATGATGAAAAGGGTAAAAATAGTGAAGTCAGTACCAATGCAAACCGAAATTGCCACCATGTTCTAAGCACAGGGAGCCTCTGGGAGTCTCGCGTCTGGATGGAAGCTGAGGCACGCGCCACAGAAGGAGCATGGGCTGTACAGTCAGAGACAGCCAGTTTCACATGCCACCTTACCCTCACTGAGCTTGGGTTTCCTCATCTATAAAACAGATGTAGCAAGCACCTTTTAATGTTCTCGTGAAAAGTATGTGAGACAACCTGGTAGTTCAGAAAATGTCACTTACTCCCCACACGGAATCAGGGCAGTGACATAGCTCACTAGCCTCTGGAACCCTGCTTAAGAGATAATATCAGCTGTTCTTATTAAGAGAATGGCAGAACAATAGAAACAGACTAAAAGACACAGGTCCAAGAACTATTAGAGAATTTTCTAGTGAAACAGGATCCTCTTAATTGGAGATAATCCAATGCTTTGTATGTGTGGCCCAGAGAACTTGCCAGGACCACTGTTATACACTGTAGGACACAAAAGAAACATTGCTAATCATAGTTATTACCAGGGACTTTGGAAGAGATTTGTAGCTTTCATAAATTGGAGTGGAACTCTGTAGTAGAATGAAGGTAATCTCTGATGCGTCTTTTATTTGAATTCTGATCATTCTTGAGTGAGGTGGGGGTAGGATAGAATAACGCTTGGGAATTGCAAATACATGTGCCCTTGTCCTTGGATGTGTCGTGAATATTGACATCACCAGTATTTGTATAGAGCACAAAAGTGTGAGACCCACGGGACTAAGGCTCATCCAAGGAGAGCTCAAAAGGTGACTTGAATGTTCAACCTAGAGCCTCAGCCACAACAAGATAGCTTCCAATTCAGGGGGCCTATCTGCCAGGCATTCCCCTAATACGTATTTCCTTGTCACCAAGAAACTTTCTAACTCTCAGTTTTTCTTCTTCCCAGAAATAGTTGATTTTAATTATATACGATTGAATTGACCAAGTCTTCTGCGGGCATCAGCTGACATCTTCGGTCTCCTATTGATGCATCCGGGATGATAAAGACCCACTTAGGGAGTCTTTTCCTAAGCTTTTATCTCACTACCAAGAAGAGTTTAAAGAAAGTTTTTGATTCTAGACCTTTGGAAAGACCCCTGATCAAATTTTCTTGGACATGAGAAAACAAAAAAAGGCAAATGCTAAGCACCCAAAACCTTTTTGGGTGAGAGTGTAATATTTTTAATGTTTAGCAATGTTACATACACACCTGACAGATGTATCAACTCACAAAAAAATATTAGTTTGTTTAAAAAAAAAACCAAAAAACTTCAACCCAAATTTATTGGGATTACAAAAATAACAGCACATTTCATTAACTTATTACAGCTCAGAGTTACCAACATATCCAAAGATATGGAGAGCATTTTTAAGTAAACAGCTTCTTCCCAATATAAATCTCATGACATAAAAAAGTTTATTTTCATATTTACAGAAGAAACCTGCTGACTGTTTCTTAAAATTCTCTTTGGAATTAATGGGTGAGGCTATTTTTAAAGTCAGAGAACATTTCAAACTGAAGAAGTTATTTTAAAAACATCTCACAATGCATTTTATTTAACACCAATGAATAAATCTGCATCCTCTTCTAAAAATCGTGTTTTTATCGCAGAGCTTCTGGAACTTCCACCTATAAAAATAGGGGATTTTCTTTCAATAAAGACGGCACAAACGATAAGTGAAAAACATCTGTAGAGTCTGTCTCTAGCAGTATTTTCTGAGAAGAACTCAGATATAAATTGATTATTGCTGCGTGGTATTTAAAAGTTATATTACAAAGTATTTAAATCATGTATAATTCTGTGGTAAAATTTTTGACAAGTGTTGAATCTTTTGTTGGAATGTACATGATACTCCCTGATTTTCTTAGTAAGGAAGTCAGGATTTTTCATATGTTGGAGTGTCGGAAAATGGGCCTGGCCCTTGAAGGACTGAGAGGCTAAGAAGGGGGCCCAGGCACACCTCTCAAATGAAACTCTGCTCGCTGATGACCTGCTCCTGGTAGTCAAAGCTTGCCAAGCTTGTTCTTGCATACTAAAATAAATATTAGAAACTAATAAGTATTTTGAGAGGAGACTTTGGTACTGCTATGCGAGGCAGGCCGACTCCTTTACTAACTCTGCGCCCAGGGTCTGCTGCTGGGGAACTTACCTTCTTTAGCTGTCTTATGCTGCTTCCCCGAATGGCTTCCATGAGATTGTCATGAGCAGATCTCTGTGGGGTAGAAGGTCGGGAACTGTCTTCCATTTTCTTCTCTTGCACTGACCTCAGGGAATTTTTAATTTCCTTTAGGATATTGTTTGGCTGTTTCTTAACCTTTTTCCCTTTTTTCTTTTTCTGTCCATTTTGTAATGACCGCTGGGCACTCTCCTGTTGTTTGATGACTTCGGCGATGTTTCGGGTGATGAGCTTTTTGTTT